CCCAAGCACCAGCTTGGTTGCCTGGTGCCTGGAGCCGGCCCTGACCTGTGCTGTACTGGCATGTGGTACATACACAACGGCAGTGAGCTAGAGGTGGGATTGTGAAGGGAGGGAAATAAGGTTAGGAGCTGCACGAGATTATACCACCTACCAACTACTGGCACAAGATATTCCACATGGTGCTCAGTGCTGAGATGCAGCCACCTCTGGGGTGGGGCGCAGCACCTATTTACAGAGTCACACAGAATGATGCACATCTATCTGGAGCAAGAGGTGAAGCAGAATTCTGAATCCAACTGACACTGCCGGAGGGAGCTGTGACACAGAGGAACATTGGTGTCAGCTGGCTAAGGATTTACTACTCTGTGTCAGCAACTCCTATCAGGCCTGACAAACTCTCTATACCCAACACACTGCTGTCACTATGCTTGTCCAGATGGTGTCTTGTAAGGTATCGAGTGAAAGCCGAAGCTACTCGGGGCCTTGTTCTTACTGACATTGCCCAGGGAGCTGTGTACAGATCTGAACTGACGCCCGGAAGTAGGTAACAAGGCAGAGCAGACAAACAGCTCTTCTGGCAGACAGGTGCACATCAGTTCTCCTCGGCCTGTCTCTGAGGTAAGTGCAGCCCTGTGACGCCAACACAACAGAAGCCCCCTTTGCTTGTGAAGGCAACCGGAAAAATAGGCTGGGGGGACATGAAATCACCGTGTGTGTGTGTGTGCACCAGACAGCAAGCAAGAGGGACGAAGAGTCTTCTCTGGGGCGTGCTGCCAAAGGGACACAGCCAAAGTGTGCTGGACTAGACAAGGAAGGAAGGCGGCCCCTTTCTCATCCACCTCTGGGCGAGCGAACCGGAGAAGGCTTTGTGCATTCCTGAAAGTCGGCTGCTGGCCGCGGGGGCTCGTGACGCTGGGAGGTTGCCGTAGGTGCGAAATGGCTCAGACAAGGATTTTAGCCTGTTCAGGTTCAGTTCAGGCTCCAGGAAGCGTGTTATCCCCCATTTCCCACATCACCTGTTTGTCTTACCGTCTTTGCTCACTAGTTCTCAGATCTTAACCATTCTAAATAAAGGTACACTCACTTTCCCGGCCGGTCATTTCCAGCGCTGGGCTGCCCTGATCCTGAGCTGTGCCAGCCTAGGGTGACCAGATGTCCCGATTTTATAGGGACAGTCCCGATTTTTGGGTCTTTTTCTTATATAGGCTCCTATTACCCCCCACCGCCTGTCCCGATTTTCACATTTGCTGTCTGGTCACCCTATGCCAGTCAGACTGTGCACACGCGGTCTCTCTGGAGACGGCGTACCTGGTTATTTCAGTGAGTGTCCAGTGATGGGCTGGGTGCTGCAGAGGGAGTCGCTGGCAGAGGGGCTCGGGGGATGGTGTGTGTCTGTCACTAGTTGGTTCAAGTGAGGCGAGGGCTGTGGAGACCTGGAAGTCAGGGCTTGGCTGTGGCCAGAGGCTGGTGGGTTCAGGGAGCTGAGCTACAGCAGGCCTGCTTCATGCGAAGGGCAGGAGGTAGAGAGTTGCCTCTCACTCCTGAGTGCCCCTGGGGAGCGTACCAGGAGCCCCCACCCCACTCCCTGCAGCATAGCACCACACTGGGTCAGTACTGACAACAGGAGAGAGCACCCCCTATGGAGCCCCTGGGAGGAAGTGGGAATTTTCATAATATTGTTTATGATGCCTATGTGAGCCTCAGTTCCCCCTCCCTATATGTTGCATGGCTACCCGGGGGGAAGGGGGAAAGGACTATGTTTGCTGTCACACTAAAAGTTATGTTGGCCCAACTACATCGCTCAGGAGTGTGAAAAATCCACCCCCCT